AGATGGTCATAGTGGAGATAAAGAACAGACAACAGTGGAAACAAAGCAGAGACATTGTCCACTCCCGTCCTGTCAGGTGGATTCAACTCTCCCTTCTTCTGCGTGAACTTCACGTGAAGCCTTCGGCGCTGTTGTGACTCCTCACCTTTCTTAACAACGTCCCCTAACCTGGCATAGGTCCGTCTGGCTATCAGTCAGTCAGTCCTCCGTCATCGAGTGTCCACTCCCACTTCCCCTGCGTTGCACAAGCGCAACACCCACACGAAACTGTTGTGCTTAGCTCTACATTGTTGGGCCTGCAGCCCGCTCATTGGAACTTTGCACACACGTGCCAAAAACCCACTCGCTTACCCCAAATCGTCCTGGAGACAAATCCGCTGCTGGGCTGCCGACACCAGTAAATTCTGCCCAATTATTATGCCCTCGTGGCAGATTGGCCGAACTCTTATGGGTCGTCAACTACTTGCGAATTTAAGAAAATTAACAACACTTGAAGAACAATATTACTTTTATTTAAAGACTCAGGAAAATTACACTACCGATGGGTTTGAAGTCGTTTGTCTAATTGCATTGATATTCGTTTTTTCACTCGGTTTTAAGTACCTGTGGAACGTATGTTCCAACAAGGCTACCAACATTACGACGGCGCTGAATAGTGCTGCCGTATTGTTAGTGATGCCATTACATCACCCCCCTTGAGAAAAGATTTTTGCAAGGTGATCAGGCTTGCCAAAATCATTCGATTCAAGGGCGATGCAAAACCGATAGGGAGGAACGAGATATTTATTATTAATATTGTAAGTATGTTTCCTTCCCCTTTTAACTCGTTCGTCAATTTCAATTTTCGGCTGTAATAAAGAGTTCAAAACGAATGTTAAATAATTGATAACATTATTATATTTACTTAGCTAATTGTGTTAAGTTAAAATATTAATTTTATAATAAGGATTTTACATAAGTATGAGTTAAATAATATTTATATATGAATTTGTAAATTTGTAAATATGAAATTACATAGCTATATGTATAAAAATTAATACAGATTAAATTTTTTGACTTGTGTTAAATTAATGCCATATGAAAATACTTATGTGTATAGTTTATTAAGCCAAAATTTGAAGGTATACATACATCTAAATATTATTTTTGAGTATTATTCATACCAAATAAAAGATTTTTGTTTCAAAATAGGTTTTCATGACAATTCATGAGTTATTTCGCATTGTTGTACACATGTACATATTTTAACTAACTATAGAGCGTAATTTTAACAATAATAATAGTTTGTATATATATCTTGTGTGACGTGGCTGATTTATTTTGTGTCAAATTTGAATGTTACTTGCATTTTTAAATAAATTCATTAAAAAATAGATTATTTGACTTTTTGAATGCGGTTTTTGTGAACCGTTTTTAATTTATTTTTGGTTTTGTCGAAAACCGTAACATTTGCTCCTTCTACTTTTTGTACAACGTGTGGCCCTTGATATATGCTTTCGTGTTTGTCTCTGGCCTCTTTTTGTATTAGAACAAGATCGTGTTCTTTTATTTGTACTGGACGAAAGTGTCTATCGTATACGTCTTTGTTACGGACTTTATGTTTATTGACTAATTCTTTGGCTATTGCATTTGATTTTTGCATACGGTATTTAACCTCTTTCGCATAGTTTTCAACGTTATATATCGGGTCTATCTTTCCGTTTCGCAACTCGTGCGGTAAAGTTGCTTTCTTGCCGAAAACTAGTTCGAAAGGAATAAATTGGTTATCAAAAACAGTATTAGGCGTGGTATTATGTAAAAAAGGTTTCGCTCAAATAAGCGCGTAAATATTCGTTAAAAACTCCATGGTTGCGTTCAATTGTACCAACGGTTTCGTGGTGGTGTGCTGTTGAAAAGTTATGGTTTATATTTAAAAGTTTTGTAAGTTCTGAAAAAATTTCATTCTTATATTCTGTTCCTAAATCAGTCCTAATAGAATTCATTGTGCCATATATTAATATGTAGCTTTCAAAAATAGCTGAAGCTACAGTTTTTGCACTTTTGTCTGGTATCGCGATAGTTACTAGATATTTTGTTAGATCGCAGATTATGGTGACAGCGAACTTGTTACCATATCGCGTTTCTGGCAAGGGGCCTATAGTGTCAATAATTACTTCTTCAAAAGGTCTACTAGGTGTTGGCGTTAACACCAGATTTTCTTTGTTTTTAGGCTTTACTTTGTTCAGTAAACATTTCTCGCAACTTTTTACGAATTTTGATATGTCACGGGTCATATTTTTCCAGAAGTATTTAGTACGAATTTTTGCATACAATCTACAGTCCGCAATGTCCTCCACTTGTTGGGTCGTTATGGTAGATTGTCATAAGTTGCTGTTTCTTTTCGTTGTCGGTCACAGTTTCGACAGGATCTGTATTTAAAATTTTATTTCCGCGATTTTTTAAGCTAGCAATTGTGAAGTGACGGAAAAATTCATCGTCCTTTGGCCATTCAATCTTCTTAATTTTGCGTTTGCTGGCTTCAATTTCAAGCCTCGAAAGTAAATCATCTAAATTCATTATTTCGTTAGCAAATGCATAATTAAGTAACTCGAGTTTTTTATGTTTAATATGTGCACAAATTCGTAAAATTATAATTTTATCATCTTTATCATAAGTAATTTCTGATCTAATACGCGGTATTTTTTTTGAAAAGTTATAAGAAAATGTATCATAAACGTTTAATATCTCCTGTTTTTCATCTTCGTTATTATCTGTATTTTGTATCATTTTATCGTTGTCCCGTTTAGTCATTGATCTCGTCTGTACTGCCAAGATACTTTTCGTTGATTCCCTTATTTCGTCTATCGTTATACGTGGGAGTGCGTCTGCGCCTACGTTTAATTTTCCTTTAATGTATTCGATAGTAAAATTGTATTCCGCAAGTTCTAACCTTATTCTTGAAAGTTTTGAAGAGGGGTCTTTCATATTGAACAGGTATATTAATGGTCTGTGGTCTGATTTTACTAAGAAATGTGTTCCATAAACGTATGGTCGAAATTGTTTAATGGCAAAATATATTGCTAGAAGTTCTAATTCGATAATTGGTTTTTTCTGTTCTGCATTGTTAAATGATTTTGAGGCAAAACATATTGGTAAATCGCAACCTTGCTGTTTTTGGCTACACACACACACATACACCCTATTTTTGAAGCATCAACTGTAATAATAAATTGCTTTGTAAAGTCTGGATATTGTAGCAATTTCGGTGACATTAAGGCTGATCGTAACGCTTGAAAAGCTTCATCACATTTCTCATCCCAAACAAAATCTACTCTTTTCCTACTTAATTTATTCAAAGGTGCTGCCAGAGTTGCAAAATTGGGGATAAATCTTCGGTAATAGTTTGCAAATGCGACAAAACGTCGTACTGCATCTTTGTCAGTAGGTTTAGTATACTTTTTAATTGCAACTATTTTTGAATCGTCTGGCAGCAGACCTTTTGCTGAGCATTTGTGCCCTAAAAACGTTACTTCGGGATTTAGTTTTAAATTGAAATTTCGACAAGTTTCGAAAACTTTCGCTAAATTTTTAATGTGATGTGCTTCGCTACAGCCTATGACAATAATGTCATCTACATATAAAAATGCTACGTTCGGTGGAATACCAGAAAAAGCTATACTCATCATTCGTGAGAATGAGTTGGGTGCTATACTTAAACCGAATGGCAATACTTTCCATCGATATGCTCCTCGGTCTGTCCTAAAAGAAGTTATATCACGTGAATCTTCATTCAATGGGATTTGGTGAAATCCAGAAAAAAGATCTAAAGTATAAAAATATTTAGCTCTGCCAAGATTGTCCAAAATATCGTCAACTCGTGCGAGAGGAAATTTATCCGCAATAAGTTTTTTATTGACTGCGCGGAAATCAACGCACATACGATAAGCTTTTTGACCATTAGTAGATTTTTTAGGAACCAAGATTAGAGGACTATTGCAATTGGAATAACTTCCTTCAATTAAACTTATTATCTAATAATTTATTAACTTGGCGAGTTATCTCTTCACGTTGGGAGTATGGTAGACGATAGTTTTTTACATATACCGGGTCAGTGTCAGTCAACCTAAGTTTCTGTTCATAAAAATTGCTTAATGTCATTTTGTCATTGTCAAGCGCGAAAATGTCGGCATATTTGATGCAAAGGTCAAGTAAATTGCTGTTAGCTTCTGTGGAGAATTGGTTTTTCAAAATATTTGTTAATTCGTTCGTTCTTAATTCTTCTGTCTTGGTCTTATTAATTGAGTAAACGTTATAGTCAGAAAGCTTTTCAGTCTGAATGTTTACATTCTTTACATGTTTCACGTCATCTGTGGTATTTATGATTTTGACTATTGGGTTGCTTGTACTAACGAAGCATCTTGCCGTGAATACACCGTTATCGATTTCGTGTGAATCCACGAAAAGTGGTTCTGGTGAACTTCCTAAATTAAAAAGACGAAAAACTTCGCATCTGGGTGGAATTACGCAGGTATCGCTTTCGGTTCCGTGAAGAATCGGAATCGCGACTTTTTTATTACCTACCCAGAAGAAAATGCAATTGCTTGCATAGCTGATAACGCATTTATTTACTTTCAAAAAGTCTTTACCCAATATACCGTCTGCAGGGATGTTGAAATCGTCATTAACCACATGTAACGTATGTTTTGTAAAACAGTCCGAAAAAGTCAAATTCGTCGTAATTTTACCTAGAGTTGAAACGGTGTTTGAAGTGACACCCGTAATGTTAATTATATCGTTCGTATTTATAGAAAAATGTTTATCAATGCTAGAAATTTTTATTAAAGAAATGTCGGCTTGCGTGTCGACTAAAAACGTACAAAATTTGTTTGAACCATTAATTCGCAATTCAATAAAATCAGAGTAATTTAGATTTAGACAGTATATGCATTTTGTTGAAAAAGAAGTATTTAGTTGTCCATTTCTTCCGCCCTCAGTGTTCGCTCCTGAGGGGCGTGGGCGTTTTAAGCGCGCACATTAGTATTACTGCGTGAATTTGGACGTCTATTACTATTATTGTTGCTGTTATTGTTTCGATTGTTGTCTGATGACCGATTACTATTATTATTGAAATTGTTACCGTTATGCCTTGAACCGTTATTGCTGTACCTACTGTTATCAGCGTTATTATTGTACCTATTGAAATTTGAGTTGTTTTGTCTGAAATTGTTATTGTTGTACCTATTAAAATTGTGCCCTCTGAAACTACCTCTAAAGCTATTTGGCCTATTTACTCGGGATCGAAACGCTAACACTTGTCGCTCTTTCACTTGATTATTTTGTTCGACTATCATTTTTGCCGCTACGTCCTTTGAATCACTGAAGGTAGTTGACGATAAAATTGATTTGACCAAATTCGACCGAGTATTAAGTCTACAAACGTTAACTGTTTGCTCGATTGCCATTTCATGAGCCTTAGACTGTATCATACCTTCAATGATCAAAGAGCGCTCTAAAGCATCCGAAAGCTCCTCGACACGCTTAGCAAATTCCGTATAATTGTTGTTTATGACATGTAAAGATGCAATTTTCCCAGCTACAACTTTCGAGTTGTCTGGCTTTATTCTATTTCTCAACGCAACTTTTATTTGCCTAACTGAACTAACTTCTGTTGGAATTGCTTCACGTGCCTTGCCTTCGAGTTTCGATTTCAATAATGATATAAAAGTCGTATTTAAGTTTTCATCTGCAAAATCTTCAATTAAATTAATTTTGTCTATAAACGATTCAAGTGCTAGCGGATCTCCATTGTAATTTTCCCTAATGATTGAGGCACAAAGACTAATAAACGATTTTTTCTGTTCAGGGGTAGCCATGTCTAAAAATTCTTGAAGAAATGTAGAAATATTTGGTGAACTGGTAGCTGTTGACGGCTCGTCGGATACTGTTAGCAGATCTTTAAAGGATGGAAGTGAAGTACTTCTTTTAAGACTGAATTGTACCGAAGCTTCTGACTTGGCGTCACTAAATTCTTCTTCTGACTCAGAGTCAGCTAAGTCTGATTGGCAAATTAGCGACAAGCTATCAGGTGGAATCCTAACGCGACAATTCAGTTTATTAAAGCACTTTGCTAACTGTTCCTTGCAACGAGCTAATTTAACTTGGACTTCTTTGAGATTACAGGTATGGGCCGAACTATTACCAATAACTAGTAATAAAATATTATTGTAAGCTGTGATAAGCGAATATTTGTATTCGTTTAATTTTTTCGCATTCGAAGACAACGGTCTATTTTGTAAAATGCGTTTCGTAATCTTATCAAAATCTGCTTTATATACTTTAAATTGTTTATCGAATTCGCTCATAACCGGCTAATCTCAAAGAAGTGGAAACCCAACATGTACGAAAACAAGCTATCGTTCACTCTGTATAAAAAAAATTAAAAAGAAATTGAATTATGAAAAATACTTATGTTTTTCTTCAGTAGGTCATCGGCTGAAAAATCGCATGCAACAAGGGGTTTTCATGCAGTTGGGATATCGGTGAATTTCATGCAGCACACATGCAAAGCAAAAGATTTCAAGTTGTTTGCTTAATTTTTTTGTATTTAAAGAAGTTTTAAATTTTGATATATATAGGGGTCGAACACATATACATCGGTATATGGTTAAATTCTTAAATTTATAGAATCTGAGTTTGAAGGTAGTTTTTTTTTGTGTTTCTAAATTGATTTATGGGATTATACCGTGAACTTATAACTAGTAATGGAAAATTTTGAGTAATAGTGCATATTTAGTAATTTCAAAGTCACTTAAATTTAATAATATTAATGTTCAAGGAATAATAAAAAATGTATGTATGCAAGTAACCGTAGTGGGAATTTGAAAGTTGTTTAATCCGCAATGTATGCAAGTAACCGTAGTAGGAATTAGAAAATTGTTTAATCCGCAATGGAATCGCAAGAAAAGCTTATATTAATATTTTTGAAAAATTTATGTAAAATGTGAAAAATTGTGATCACTTATATGATACGAAAAATTAATTGAAACTTCACTGAATCACTCACGTCAACTTATAACTGATTTGAAAATGTTTTTTTTGAAAAATGTTATTGAATCACTTACATCTAGTTTTTAAAAAAAAAAAGTTAAATCGCTTATATATCTAGTATGGAAAGGTTTAATCACTTATACATCTAATATAGAAAGGTTGAATCGCTTATACATATATCTAATGTGAAAAATGTTTAAATTCTAAACTAACATTTTTACTGTCATTGCGAAATTCTTTTTTTTTGATCATAAATATTTAGAAAAGTTCGCTTTCCCGCATTTGTATTTTAAATTTAAATTCTCATTTTGTTTTGAATATTTTAGAAAAGTTCTCTTCGTTTTTTTTCTTTTACTATTTAAAAAAAATACCAACACACATTAGTGTGCATACTAATGTATATATATTAAGAAATTTGAATATGTATATTAAGAAATGTAAGTATGTATATAAGAAAAATGTAGGTATGTGGATAAACTTATATTACTCAGCCTTACTCCTTGACTGGTACTGTACCCATCTGTCTGCTCTTCCGCCGTTATCCCCGTTGGTTATTATACTGCTATGCTGCGGCCTCCCTCGCTGCTGTCACTTTGTATATTTTTTTCGGTGTTGTTCGGTTGTATGCCGCTATTTTGCTGGCGTGGGTGCAATTAGCGGTTTAATTTTGCCGCTAGTTGTTTTGTACAGTTGCTAGCTGCGTGGTTTCGTCGGGCGCCTTTACACATATGTACGTGTGTGTACGCTGCCGTTGTTCGTGGTAGCAGTTCTGACTTTTGGTACAGTAACGAACTGTACAACATACCGTTTTGTGCGGCGTTATGCGACTTATGCAATATTGCTGCCGTTGGTGGTTGCAGGGCTTCCCATTATGCGGGAAAAAACAGCTTACGTAGATGCAGCGCGCCGCTTTGTGTGGCGTTACACGGCTTATGCAATACTGCCGCCCGTGACGGTCGACTGATATAGAATTTTGTCCATCCACAGTAGTGTGTCGCACAAAAAGGGGCTTTTCGTACTCGCCTGCCGTCCAGGCTGTAATCAAAGCAATTTTTCCCACACGCGTATGCACGCACACGCTGTAACGGTCGCCATGTTGTTGCACACACGTGCCAAAAACCCACTCGCTTACCCCAAATCGTCCTGGAGACAAATCCGCTGCTAGGCTGCCGACACCAGTAAATTATGCCCAATTATTATGCCCTCGTGGCAGATTGGCCGAACTCTTATGGGTTCCGCAAATTTGTATTTATAGAAAAATTTGCCAATTATTCACGCCCGTCAACTACTTGCGAATTTAAGAAAATTAACAACACTTGAAGAACTATATTATTTTTATTTAAAGACTCAGGAAAATTACACTACCGATGGGTTTGAAGTCGTTTGTCTAATTGCATTGCCATTCGTTTTTTCACTCGATTTTAAGTACCTGTGGAACGTATGTTCCAACAGGGCTACCAACATTACGACGGCGCTGAATAGTGCTGCCGTATTGTTAGCGATGCCATTACACCATAGCTAATGATCCTCTGACATTAACAAACTCTTGAATTCAAATTATCATTTTTTTTCAACTCTATTCACAATCTCAACGTATCTACTATTTTTAACACTATGAACTTTTCTTTTCTACCACCCTAATGCTAGCACAGATACATAAAATTCATTAAAAAATTCAGGGTTTTAATTTTATTCCTTCCTATTAATCCAAAGAAGTACTCCTATCTTTCCACTAATACCCTAATCCCAGAACAAAAGCAATGAATCGAACATAAATCAAGACTTAATTTTATACCTTATTTCCTGTTATTTCCGAAAATCTAATTTTTTTCCTTTTTTATACCACCCTAATACACATATCCTACTACTTAAAAGTATCTAAATACATATTCCCTAACATTGACTTCTAACCAATTCTTCCAATTCTTTTCTTTCTGTAAAAATAAATTCCGTAATGAGACCACTTTGACCTCACTTATAATTCAATATTACTACAACAAAAAAATATATACATATATCCAGCGGCCTAAATGTATATATATATATATATATATATGTGTACGTATATGTATATAGTATTATATTAAAAACAATTCATATACTCACCTTGACCTCCAGCGATGATGGTACCAGCATGCTGTCGAGAACCTGTGTGGAGAGTTGGAGAGCCTACCATATATCAGATGGCTATACATACAAGATGCTGAGGAAAATCACTCGTCGTGATACCGGGCGGCGAGCGAGTCGCAAAAATACCGCGGAAAACTAACGTGCGGTAAGTTTAATATTGAGTGGATGAGCTAGGTGAAAGCAAAATAATTGAAAAAAACGTGACTTAAAGTTATTTCCACCAAATATAGCTTTATATATGCCTGGCTATAGCCTATATATATGTATTCATATGTACATATGTACCTAGTGAGATACCAAAATAAAATTTACGTGAAATTATATATCCGAGCTATTTGAAACCTATTTTTTAGCCCCAAATGAGTGAAAAAAGCAACAACAACAAAAAATCATATAAAATTTAAGTAATGTACCCGCATATAAATATGTACATAAAAGCTTGGAGTGACAAACCAAGGAAATAACCGGGAGGAATGCAATAAAAGTGGTCTAAAGAGATGTACGTAAATGCACTGAACTCGCTACCTATGTATCTATTTATGTACATAGGCATGCGCACACCTGTGGAACTTTCATAATAGCCTTAAAGAAATAAAGAGCTGAGCGAACTAGGATCTAAATTAGAGAAAATAACCCAAAGATGATCTCGGCGCAGCTGCGGATCTGCAGCGTAGGCGCTGTGCTGGTCTCTTACGCTCCTGCTATGTATGCTGTCCAGTGTTGCCGTTTTAGCCCTTTGGTGGATAGATTTAGCTACCACATACTTTTTTTGCCACATAAATTTAAAATTGCCCCCAGCCCTTTTTTTAGCCCTTTGGAGAATTTATTCATACTTGGCCTGAAAAAGTTGTATATGCTTAATTTGATCTCACTTTTTTCATTTATGTAAGAGATGAATTTTTAAACTAAGAGAGATTGACATATATCGTTACCTTAATATAGAAAGGCCCTAACTCATTTTGTCGCTGAAATACAAAAATCCGTAACTAAGTAAAAATCCAAAACTCCTTTTTTGATTGTTTATGATGCATTTCATCGAATTATTAGTCTCCACATCATTTTAAGTAATAAACAATTTTAGTCAGTTTCGGCTTTTTTGCGTTTCAGCGACTATATGAGTTATGGCCTTTCTATATTAAGGTAATGATACACATGTTTGTATTCCCTGCCAGCCACTGCTCACCACTTTCCCCTAAAATTCAAACGATTTACAAACACATTCACAACTTTTTAGTCATCTCACCCACACACAAATTTTTTGTTCGAACTGTCAAAAAAATGTCCCTTTGTTGGAGCTACATACCCGATAAGAATTCGTACTCTAATAAGAATTCTATGCGTTAGAGCGAGCAAGTTAGAAACATCGGAGTTTTGATGACAGTATCATACTGTGAAGAAATGTCACTTTGCGAAAATTTTGAAGGTAAGAATACGTATTTAACAATTTTATTTAATTATAATGTAATTTCTTCTTTTAGATTGCAAAACAGTGGCGACTTAGTCACATTTTTAAGGTATGTATTGAGACTTTTTATATGTTTATAAATTTTAATTGATATTTTTGTTTGTTACAGATTTGGGATTCACCATCAGCACCTTCAACGCTTGCATCTTCATCGCCAGGAGCACCATTAGAACCTTCTGCCCTCAGCTTCTTCATCGCCAGGATCACCACCAGTACTTTCTACCCTCAGCTCCTTCATCGGCAGGAGCACCATGGGTACCTTCCGCCCCCACCACCTTCAATGTGTAGGTCCGACTTGTCAAATTTTGCAAAGTTGTAAGAAAACTTAATTTTTCTGAACTACCATAAATGATTTGCATCTGTTAATATATATCAAAAGAAAGGTAAACCGATTACCTTTCCTTTGAATATAACACCTTTAAAATCGCTTTACGTTTTCATAAAAACTTTGCAACTTTTGTAAACAGCTATATATAAGCAGTGAAAAAGTTGTAAAATTTTGCAAAGTTGTAACGAAACTGAATTTTTGTGCACCATTACAAATGATTTGCAACTGTTAATATATATTAAAAGAAAGGTCAACCGATTACCTTCCTTTTGATTATAATATTGTTAAAATCGCTTAACTTTTTTATAGAAATTTTGCAGCTTTTGAAAACGTCTATATATAAGTCGAAAAAAACGCAATCAAATTTTGCAAAGTTGTAATGAAACTGAATT